AACTCGTTGTTACTGCTGTCTCAGCCAATCTGATACGGTAATCGTCTGTAAATAGCCCTGCAACATTCTGCAACTATCCAAACAAGTGAAAATAGCATTTGCCGTTTTGTTTTACTTGCAACAATGAATCGCTTGTGAGCGAAGAGCGCTGTTGAGTAACCATCCCGATATAGTCGGATCTACCACTCATGCACTCTTCAGGACCAGTGACTCAGCGGACAGATGGCGCCTGTTGGTGACCTAACGAGAAACGTGCCGATTGAGTAAACATGGACAGTAAATAATCTCAGTGTACAATTGTACATTCAAGGAATGCTTTTTAATTAGTAATTATTGTCCAGCTCTATAATAATTAATGTATGTCTACGATCAGCTAATTGATAATTTAGTTCTTCGTTTGTGTCTGGATATAGGAACGGATGGTGCATGTAGATTAATAAATCAATCCCCTCTGTTATCAATTAGACCACTTAGGTTTTCTCTTTACCCCCCAGATCAGAATTATAGTTTAAAATTGCAACAAGATTATAATAAGATTAATTACGCTTTTTAACTTAATGTTTTATAGTAGTCTTGTTATTGTTTTTTAGATTGAAAACCAACTCAAGTTATCTTGGACATGTTAATTTATTAATAGCGATGTTTCACTGTAAACTCTCATGATTGTCTCGTGTAGGCAAATAAATTGCTCATTAATATTTTGACGCGGTCATGTCAGGGTCTTCTCCGAACCTTTGCTCTTGTCAGTGATTCATTTTGTCTGGGCGGTCATTTTCCTTGATTACTTGAACTTGAGCGTTAATTGTTGAATATCTTGGCGCAAAAAAAAATAAGAACGAAGAAAATTGTAAATAGAATCTTCTTTCTTATAAGATTTCTTAATTGGATACAACAAGCAGCACACGTTGTATAATTTGTTTCAATTACGTTCATCGCTTCAAGTCATGTCGAGCAAAGATTATTGTTGCCAATTTAGCTCTCAATTACGTTGTATCATTGTTATAACTTTTACAAATAGATTGCGAGTAATTAATTATTGTAATTAATAAACCAACTCCAGTATTTATAGGGATAAGTCCGCAATAAGGATCAAAGCATATCGAAAAGATACGAAAGCTTTGATAGCACAAGCTTTTTATTAATTCGGTGGATCGTCAGCAAGTAAGATAAGTGTCACGCACAGTAACTCCGTAATAAAGCTTAAGCTGAGTTATCTATGTAATGACACCCTGTATGCCAGTGTCTGTCCATACTTTATATGTGGCGGTGTTTTATTTTGTTTCCTGAAAGTTATAAACGTAATAATACGCGTCACTGAAAAAGAATCATGACTTAGAAGCGTCGCTAAGGATGGTGTTATTTTTAAGGTACAGTAATGGTAGAGTTGGATATGCAAAGGCATTTTTTTTCTAAAATATGTGGTGATATTTCAATACGAGTTTAGGAGTAGGCATATAGTGCATTTGGTGAGTGGGTATTGAGGTGTGTAGTTGTAGACATTTCGGACACATGAATAAAAAACTTCAGTTACAGGAGGATTCTGTTACCACTTTCAGCTTTCAAGAAAGCTTCAATTTAACTCTGAAACTTTAAACGTCCTCTTTCTATAGGCTATAATGTCGAGAGAGATACAATGATGAATGCAAAGCTTTAATTACACAGTAAAAGTTTGTGTAAGTAGGCCTTGTATTTAACGGTAGAGCGTGCGTGTCCAAACCGACCCCATACAAAAACATCTGAACTAAAATGTAAGCAAACCTGTAATTGTTAATCGTGGCTGGTGGACAGATATCATCATTGGCTATTGTCAGGTCAACTTTGTCCACATTGAAGACCGATATCGATCGCAATTAGCGGTTTAGACCACGAGGCAGTCATTTGTGATGTTTGGATTTTGTCGCTTGACGACAAGTTACACATGAAAAAGGATGAAGCAGGGTAGAGATGTTAACAAATGTTTTTTTTGACCCGAAATTAACTATCCGTGAAGACCGAGATTACCGAGTCAGCATCTCTTTGATTAATTTAAGCGTTAAGAGTAACTCCCTGTAGGAAAATCGCATGTTCTTTCACGAGATATCTCAACTCATATTGTTTTTATATGACGATAAATCTCGCGCTGAAAAACCGACGCAACATGAACGTAACGCGCATTCTGTACACCCAGTAGGCACATCAATGGTATCTTGAATCAGGGTTATCTCAACAACTTACATGGCAAAGTGGAGTTTTATTACTCTCGTATGAGCAGGCTTGATCGCGGCTAAGGGCTCGATTAGCGCATTGACTCACGGCTATATTCGGCGCCTGCGCATGCCCTCACGACCGCCTGGAATTAATTTCGCATTCCTTTTGATTTACGCTCCGTTAGAAAGCTTGAGAGCTTTTAGCTGAGTATCTGGTTACGTCCCGTTTTAGCGTTTCTGTGAGATCTTTCTTTGTCAGTCTTTATGATTTCAGCCATTCGATTGGTCGAAATATCAGCATCTGACCTCCGTTTATTTGTATGAAGTCCGAACGCGAATCTACTCTTATTTTTTTCAGAGAGATGAAGGTGTGAAATGGATTGCTAAAGTTCTAACTTTCAGTCTTGGGAAAATTCCCATCTTATTTGTCATTGAGGTTCAAGGTACCGAAGAGCAACCTATCGTATAGTAAAAGTGCATTACAGAATTTTTATGATTCTGCAAATATAGGATAGTCACTATACAAGCGCATCAATGTAAATAACCTACGGCGCGGATACCTCTCTTAATTTTCTCTTCGCCAATGCAAGCTCTCTAGCTGGGAATGACTTTCCAAATTACGGTTAATAAACTCCTACTCAAACGTTAAGCAATTAAGTAATTACTGTTACATAGATTGATGATAGCTTGACATAATTTATTGCTTGTGTCAAAACTGAAAATCTTAGCAGCGATAATACAACGAGAAACTTAGAACTGAGAGTTTGTAAAGAACTTACAATGCTACTCTTGTAGCTAACGTAGTTTTAATTTAAGCTTATCGATTTTTTTTATATTAGACTTCGTTGTCAGTCAGCAACAAAACATGAAACCGAATAATTATTGGTTTTAAATATTCTTTTAAGCTAACCCCCACGAGTTCGGGGAGGCACTTCTGAAGATATTTGAACCGTGCTCAAATTAGTGACGTACGAGTACTATACAGGGTGGAAACGATAAGTGATCTCACTCGATTATTTCTAAACTACACAAGATATTGAAAATCTTGTTACTGATCCTGAAAGAGCTTCACGAGCTCTTTGTAACGGTATCAGTAATAGGTTACAGAATTAACTGGATCTATCCGAAAATTCAATGTTTTCAGCCTCCATACTAAATGTATGCCAGCCACACAATATGGAATGTGTATATTTTTTAATTAAATATAAACACTTAAAATGAACTCGTAAATTGCATTATTATTTCAAATGATTCATGGAAAACATTGGTTCTAGGCTTTACTTGCTATAATATTATCAAGACATGAGTGCCATGACTGTGGCAGTACTAAATGTATGGAAGTTAGAAACATTGAATTTTCGGATAGATCCAGTTTATTTTGTAACTTATTGTTGGTACCATTGGATAGAGCTCGAGAAGCACTTTCAGGATCAGTAACCAGTTTTTAGATAGCTTGTATAGTTTTTAATATTAAGTGGTTTTACTAAATGTATGGAAGCTGGAAACATTGAATTTTCGGATAGATCCAGTTTATTTAGTAACCTATTATTGGTACTGTTAGATAGAGCTCGTGAAGCACTTTCAGGATCAGTAACCAGTTTTTCGATATCTTGCATAGTTTAGAAATAATCGAGTGAGATCACTTATCGTTTCCACCCTGTATAATACTATTAGTAGCAGTGTCAATACGCTGAATTAGCGATGTCGTATTACGTCCTATTTATGTATGTTGCCAAATGTAGATTAATCATCATGACACACTGCTTAAAAGCGTAGGTACCTAGTCTAAATTCTTGAATAACGTATCAAATAGGATTTTGAATCTGGATGTTACAATCGAATTTGAATAAAAATGTATGTGGTCCCTTGCGTTCAGTTACGAAACTATAAATATAATACGTAATGCACTACTTTTCCGCTTTTTCTACTCGACAAAGGTTCGGCGCGCGTTTCCATGACTACTGCAATAGGTCACGCGGTCGTTGGCTGAGTTTTCAGGTCGTGATTGAAAATCCTGAAAATTGTATTCGAATCGAGCTCCAATATTTGCGATTGTATGATTTTTGTACTTTTTCAGTGACACGTAAGATACTTTCGTAAATTTTTAAATGGTATAGTTGTTTTTAATGGACTTTGGAAGCGTACATGCGCATAGTTAGATGTAGGTATCCCAGTAAGCTCGTATTTCAGAATTCAGGCGGCCGCGGCAGTACGCTACGCGAGCGCGGGCGGCCCGGCGGTATTGTGTGGCCTATGAAATTTTCAGTAGCGTGTATCGGGGTCGGGGTTGACAAGTGTATATTAGTGATGTGTATACGGAACGTACACTCGCGGGCCGGCGCGGAGGGCGCGAGCTAGCGATGGAGTGCGATGGCCAGCCCTCTCACGCTGCCGCCTCTGCCGCAGCCGCGACGATACCCTATCTCTTTGAACCCATACCGTCACAAAAGGTGCTTTAGAAAAAATATATTGGGCTCTTAGTAAATAATTTAACATTGACTTATTCAATACGAGTTTATGTAGGCTGTTGAATTGGAAAAAAGCCTAAATTTGAAGATGATTTTAGTTGGCCTGTAGTATCTCGCTTTAGTAGTGTGAAATATCAGTAGGGATTTGAAATTAATTTGTTTATCATCGAGTTTATTTCCAATAATGTTGTTTGTGTGTTTTAATTGCGAATCTTTGCACGATACTAAATAAGGAAGTATCTAGTCTGCCACCAACGGCTAGAAGTAATAATAAATAGGTACAATATTAATCTCGTGGGTTCATTCATGACGGCATAATATAACACGGCATTTTTATTGTCCGTAGGCGTCACCGCTGCCCACACAACGATGTCCCGGAGCCATTGTTCGATGTGGAGCACACGACGAGCGTGGTCTCCGCGTACAAGAACGACTACGACGAGAAGCACGTCACCCGCACCACCGCCGTGCATCATGAGGACCACCTCCACCTCGAGGGAGACTTCCAGGAACCGGAGCGTCCTAAGTGGCAACCCGCCGAGCGGCCCCAGCAACGCAGACCCGAAGACAACCTCAAGCCAGAAGGAGACTTCGAGAGGAGACGCCCGGAGGAATGGCGCCCGGGCGACAGGGCTGTCGTCAAGCGTCCTGAAGACAATCTGAGACCTGAAGGCGAGTTTGCCAAACGCAAACCGGACGAGTGGCAACCCGGTGATCGTGCGCCCGTTCGTAAGCCGGACGACAATCTAAGACCAGAGGGGGATTTCACTACTCCAGAAAAAGAACCTTGGCGTCCTGCAGAAAGGCAGAAGCCTAAAAAGCCAGAAGATAATTTGAGACCTGAAGGAGATTTCGAGAGGCGCAAACCTGACGAATGGCGTCCAGGCGATCGTGCTCCAACACGTCGTCCCGAAGACAATCTTCGCCCTGAGGGAGATTTTGAACAGCGCAGGCCAGAAGAATGGCGTCCAGGTGACAGGGCTCCTGTCAAGCGTCCTGAAGATAACCTTAGACCTGAGGGCGATTTCGAGAAAAGAAGACCTGAAGAATGGCGTCCAGGTGACAGGGCTCCCGTCAAGCGTCCTGAAGACAACCTTAGACCTGAGGGCGATTTCGAGAAGAGAAGACCAGAAGAATGGCGCCCTGGTGACAGGGCTCCTGTCAAGCGCCCAGAAGATAATCTTAGACCTGAGGGAGATTTTGAGAAACGCAGGCCTGAGGAATGGCGTCCAGGAGACCGAGCTCCCGTACATCGTCCTGATGATAACCTAAGACCTGAAGGAGATTTCACTACACCAGAAAAAGAGCCTTGGCGTCCAGCTGAACGCCAGAAGCCGAAAAAACCTGAAGACAACTTAAGGCCTGAGGGTGAATTCGAGAGAAGAAAGCCAGATGAATGGCGTCCTGGTGACAGAGCGCCCGTTCGCCGGCCAGACGATAACCTAAGACCAGAAGGTGAATTCACTACGCCAGAAAAGGACCCATGGCGCCCGGCTGAACGTCCAAAACAAAAGAAGCCTGAAGATAACCTTAAGCCTGAAGGCGATTTCGAGACAAGGAAGCCAGATAAATGGCAACCTGGTGAAAGGGAACCAGTTAAACGACCACAAGATAATCTAAGGCCTGAGGGAGAATTCACTACTCCAGAAAAAGAAGAATGGAAACCCGCTGAAAGGCCCAAACAAAAGAAACCAACTGACAACCTAAAGCCAGAAGGAGATTTTGCTAAGCGGCAACCAGATGAATTCGTCCCTGCAGAGAAGGCGATAGTCAAGAAGCCTGAAGATAACCTCCGACCAGAAGGAGAATTTACAAAGAGGACCGTCATTGACGATTACACTGTCATTAAGGGAGAACGCGCTGAGATAATCCGTCGTACTGATAATATCATCACAGAAGGTGAATTCACAGGTAAATATAGTCTATTTTATGCCTTCATAGTTAGTATTATTATTTATTTTGTCAGACTTTCAATTTCTAAGAGAATGTCTCTTCAATTTTTTTTGAATTAAATTATGTATTTAGACTAATTCAAAGTTTTTATGATAAATTAATTATGAATAATACATAAATAAAGCTAATACTGAAATCCAATCAAATGTGTAGGATATCATACGAATACCCAGTAGACAGTAATTAAATGTTCCTCTATATCTTATTTCAGATACAACCACTTCGCGTTCAGAGTACACTATCAAGCCAGTCGAGAGGCCTTCACCAGTTCGTCGTAACACCTGGACAAAGATAGAAGGAGATATGACAACCGAAACTACCAGTAAATCTGAATTCATCGACTACACTGACATCGTCGAGAGGACTACATTGGTCGCGCGGAGAACTGACAATATTATTAGAGAAGGTGAAATCGAATTCGTTACTTCTAATCAAACAGATTTCACCGAGAAAGTAACACCTGTTGAACGTCCTCAACGACGCCGTACATGGACAAAGGAAGACTTCGAAAAATTCTATTCTACGGAGGATCTACAGAAAATTACTACCTCACAGGAAGAGTATAAAACTTACGAAGAAACTGATATAAGACAACAACAAATAATAAGGAAAGATAACTTGCATATGGAAGGTATCTTCGACAGCCATACCGTATCTCAAGATGATTACGGTCCAAAGAAAATGGGTGAAAAATTGAAACAAAAGAGGCCCATTGATAACTTGAAACCCGAGGGAGAGTTTGAGCAGCCGAAACACGATGAATGGAAACCAGCTGAACGTCAAACTCCAAAGAAACCGGAAGATAATCTCAAGCCCGAAGGTCAATTTGAGACGCCCAAACAAGAAAAGTGGCGTCCGGCAGAGAAGCGTGAACCCACGAAGCCTAAGGACAATTTGAAGCCCGAGGGTGAATTTGAACAACCCAAACATGATGAGTGGAGGCCAGCCGAACGTCAAACACCGAAGAAACCACAAGACAACCTCCGCCCAGAAGGAGAGTTTGAACAACCGAAACATGACAAGTGGCGTCCAGCTGAGAAGCGTGAGCCCACGAAGCCTAAGGACAATTTGAAACCTGAAGGTGAATTCGAACAGCCTAAGCACGATGAATGGCGTCCAGCTGAGAGACAGACACCGAAGAAACCCCAAGACAACCTCCGCCCTGAAGGAGAGTTTGAACAACCGAAACATGACAAGTGGCGTCCAGCTGAGAAGCGTGAGCCCACGAAGCCTAAGGACAATTTGAAACCTGAAGGTGAATTCGAACAGCCTAAGCACGATGAATGGCGTCCAGCTGAGAGACAGACACCGAAGAAACCCCAAGACAACCTCCGCCCTGAAGGAGAGTTTGAACAACCGAAACATGACAAGTGGCGTCCAGCTGAGAAGCGTGAACCCACCAAACCTAAGGACAACTTGAAGCCAGAGGGTGAATTCGAACAGCCTAAGCACGATGAATGGCGTCCAGCTGAGAGACAGACACCTAAGAAGCCACAAGATAACCTCCGCCCTGAAGGAGAATTCGAAACACCAAAACACGACAAGTGGCGTCCTGCTGAGAAACGTGAACCCACCAAGCCTAAGGACAACTTGAAGCCCGAGGGAGATTTCGAGCAACCTGAACACGAAGAATGGCGCCCTGCAGAAAGGCAAACGCCTAAGAAGCCACAAGATAACCTTTACCCTGAAGGCGATTTCGAACAACCTAAACATGACAAGTGGCGTCCAGCTGAAAGGCGCGAACCCACGAAACCGCAAGACAACTTGAAACCTGAAGGTGAATTCGAAAAGCCCAAACATGATGAGTGGCGCCCTGCGGAAAGACGCGAAGTCACAAAACCTAAGGATAATCTTAAACCAGAAGGTGAGTTTGAGAAGCCTAAACATGACGAATGGAGACCAGCTGAACGACAGACACCTAAGAAACCACAAGATAACCTAAGGCCGGAAGGAGAATTTGAGCAACCCAAACATGACAAATGGCGTCCAGCTGAGAAACGTGAACCCACTAAACCTAAAGATAATTTGAAGCCAGAGGGTGAATTTGAGCAGCCTAAGCATGATGAATGGCGTCCAGCTGAGAGGCAGACACCTAAGAAGCCACAAGACAACCTCCGCCCTGAAGGAGAATTCGAAACACCAAAACACGACAAGTGGCGTCCAGCTGAGAAACGTGAGCCCACCAAACCTAAGGATAACTTGAAGCCCGAAGGAGATTTCGAGCAACCTGAACACGAAGAATGGCGTCCTGCCGAAAGGCCGACACCTAAGAAGCCACAAGATAACCTTTACCCTGAAGGCGATTTCGAACAACCTAAACATGACAAGTGGCGTCCAGCTGAAAGGCGCGAACCCACGAAACCGCAAGACAACTTGAAACCTGAAGGTGAGTTTGAAAAGCCCAAACATGATGAATGGCGCCCGGCTGAGAGACCTGTTCAAAAGAAACCGAAAGATAATCTTCACCCTGAAGGTGAGTTTGAAACACCTAAGCACGATGAGTGGCGTCCAGCTGAAAGACGCGAGGTCACAAAGCCAAAGGATAATTTGAAACCAGAAGGTGAGTTCGAGAAGCCTAAACATGATGAATGGCGACCTGCAGAGCGACAGACTCCTAAGAAACCACAAGACAATCTAAGACCTGAGGGAGAGTTCGAACAACCTAAACATGATGAGTGGCGTCCGGCTGAAAGGCAGACACCCAAGAAGCCGCAAGACAACCTCCGCCCTGAAGGAGAATTCGAAACACCGAAACACGACAAGTGGCGTCCAGCTGAGAGGCGTGAGCCGACTAAGCCTAAGGATAACTTGAAACCTGAAGGTGAATTTGAACAGCCCAAGCATGACGAATGGCGCCCGGCTGAGAGGCAGACTCCCAAGAAGCCGCAAGACAACCTTCATCCCGAAGGCGAGTTCGAAACACCGAAACACGACAAGTGGCGTCCAGCTGAGAGGCGTGAGCCGACTAAGCCTAAGGATAACTTGAAACCTGAAGGTGAATTTGAACAGCCCAAGCATGACGAATGGCGCCCGGCAGAAAGGCAGACACCAAGGAAGCCGAAAGATAATCTACAACCTGAAGGCGACTTTGAACAGCCTAAACATGATGAGTGGCGTCCGGCTGAGAGACCTGAAGTCAAAAAGCCAAAGGATAACTTGAGACCAGAAGGCGAATTTGAGAAACCCAAGCACGACGAATGGCGACCAGCTGAGCGTCAAACTCCCAAAAAACCACAAGACAATCTGCGACCTGAAGGAGAGTTTGAAACGCCAAAGCCTGACAAGTGGCGCCCAGCTGAACGTCAGACACCCACCAAACCTAAAGATAATCTTCGGCCTGAGGGTGACTTTGAGAAACCAAAATATGACGAATGGAGACCAGCAGAAAGACCTGAAGTCAAAAAGCCCAAAGATAACTTGAGACCAGAAGGAGAATTCGAAAAACCTAAGCAAGATGACTGGCGTCCAGCTGAGCGACAGACCCCCAAGAAACCGCAAGATAATCTGAGACCGGAGGGAGACTTTGAGAAGCCTAAGCACGATGAGTGGCGCCCAGCAGAGAAACCTGTCGTTAAACGACCCAAGGATAATCTGAAACCTGAAGGAGAATTCGAGAAACCTAAACACGATGAATGGCGTCCCGCTGAAAGGCCAGAAGTCAAGAAGCCTAAGGACAATCTGAAGCCTGAAGGTGACTTCGAGAAGCCGAAACCAGAGAAGTGGAGACCTGCTGAAAAACAGACACCGAAAAAACCACAGGATAATCTGAAACCAGAAGGACAATTTGAAAGGCCAGAGAAGCCTAAGCCAATTAAAGGAGAGAGACCTGTTCAAAAGAAGCCTGAAGATAACTTGAAACCCGAGGGTGACATGGAGGTTGTAAGACGAACAGATTACACAGCAACGAAAGGCGATCGTGTTGACGTTGTCAGGCATGAGGATCACCTAAAGATGGAAGGAACAATAGATATTCATCGTTCACGTGATGATTATAAGCGTATTGAAAGGACTGAAAAGGTAGTTATTCAGAAGCACGAAGACAATTTGAAAACGGAAGGAGAGTTTATTGACCTTCAAATACGTAATGATTATAGCGCAACTAAAGGCGAAAGAGCGCCTGTAGTTAAACCTCAAGACAACCTGAAACCCGATGGCAAATTCTACAAGCCTGAAGTAGTTCCATCGCAACCAGCTGAAAAGCGTAAGCCATTCAAGCAAGTTGATAATATTACAATTGACAGAGAAACTGATTTACGTCGCAGGCAAAAGATTGAGCGAGTAGATATCATTAGAAGAGAAGATAATTTGAAGATAGAAGGAGAATTCATTGACATGAAACAAAGAAATGATTACACCGTCGTGAAAGGTGATCGTAGTGAAATAGTCAAACATGAAGACAATTTGAAAATGGAAGGCACAATGGAAAACATCCGTTCTTCAGACACATATCGTGTAGTAAAAGGACAACGAGTGAAATTGACTCGAAGAGAAGATAATCTTAAAATTGAAGGAGTGTTTGAAGATCATACTCGCCGGGATGATTATAGAGTGACAAAAGGAGAAAGGTCTGCTATTATTTACCACCCAGACAATTTGAAACCAGAAGGAGAATTCGAAAAAAGACCTGAGCCAACCGAAGTTGTTTATGATGAAAAACGCACCCCAATAAAACAAACAGATAACTTAAAGCCAGAGGGAACCTTTGACAGACCCACCCGGCCAAAATGGATTAAAGGGGAGAAACCAGAACTTACCAAGCCACATGACAATCTCCGCCCCGAAGGTGAATTTGAGCGAAAGCCCAAAGAGCAGTGGCAACCTGGAGACAGACCAACCCAAAAACGTCCAGAAGATAACTTGAGGCCTGATGGTGAATTTGAAAAAAGACCAAAACAACAATGGCAGCCAGGTGAAACGCCTGATCAAGTACGTCCCAAGGATAACTTGAAACCTGATGGTGAATTCGAAAAACGACCTCAGACTAAATGGCAGCCAGGTGAAACACCTCAACAAGTGCGACCAAAAGATAATCTTAAACCTGAAGGCGAATTTGAAAGGCGACCTCAGACTAAATGGCAACCAGGCGAAACACCTTCACAGGTGCGTCCAAAAGATAACCTTAAACCCGAAGGCGAATTTGAAAGACAACCTCAGACTAAATGGCAACCAGGCGAAACACCTTCACAGGTGCGTCCAAAAGATAACCTAAAGCCTGACGGAGAATTTGAAAAACGTCCTCAGACTAAATGGCAGCCAGGTGAAACACCCTCACAGGTGCGTCCAAAAGATAACTTGAAGCCTGACGGTGAATTCGAAAAGAGACCGCAACAACCTTGGCAACCTGGAGAGACACCAGCTCAAGTACGCCCTAAGGATAATCTAAGACCCGAAGGTGACTTTGATAGGCCTAGTAAAACAAAATGGAGTCCTGGTGACAGACCTGACCAAGTAAGGCCAAAAGACAATCTTCATCCCGATGGTGCATTCCAAGACAGGCCTAAATCGCAGTGGCAACCCGGTGAAACCCCTAGCCAGGTCCGGCCAAAAGATAACTTAAAACCTGAAGGAGACTTTGACCGTCCGAGTACTCAGAAGTGGAGCCCTGGTGAAAAACCTGGACCCATAAAACCAAAGGACAACCTTTACACCAATGGCCACGTAACAAAACACGATACAACTCATGTGCAGAGTAGCGATGTTACTAAGAAGACGACAGACTCTACATCTGTTACAGGACGCGATGACTCTATCATTAAGTCGCATTCAGAAATACGTCGTGATGACCAAACGCATGCAACACATACAGAACGTCACGTAAAACACTCTAGTACTCACAGTACTACGGAGCACGCAACTACCAAGCATTTGCAATCTGGTACACACGTAAGGCCGAGGCCTCAAGACGAACCAGATAGGACGGGGTCACAAACTAGTGTTAACCGAGTGGTAGACAGGTCTAGCACTGACCGTTCTCGTAATGTTACAGACAAGACTATCAGCAAATCTGATTCAAGGAATGTGAAGAATGTAACTTCTACTACTTCTACAACGAAGGTGATAAAACAAGTGACTGAAAAGAAATTGATTGCTGGTAAATGGGTGAATGTTACCAGGAATGTTGAAACGTATGTTACTTCTAACGGTGACGGTCCAGATTCAGGAAAACCCAAGAGAATCGATGATCGTCCAAGGCCGGCAGCTGGCATGCCATCTACGGTTGATACACAGAGAGTAGTAACGACTGACCAGCAATCTGTCAGTTCAACAAGTAGTACTCAAGACCTGAGAACACACCAGCGCCATAGCCCCGTTGGAGGTCCTGATGGTGGTAAACCCAAGAGAATAGATGATCGACCAAGGCCAGCAGCAGGTATGCCGTCTGGTGGACACAGCACTCAAAAAATAGTGACTAGTGATCAACAAACAGTCAGCTCAACAAGCAGTACCCAAGATTTGAGTACGCACCAAAGGCACACTCATATTGGAGGTCCTGATGGAGGAAAACCCAAGAGAATAGATGACCGCCCAAGACCTGCAGCGGGAATGCCTTCTGGTGGAGACACTACTCATAGAATAATAACCTCTGATCAACAATCAGTCAGCTCGACGAGTAAGCAAGATATGAGCACACAACAACGTCACAGCCATATTACTTCTGAAACTCATACACAACGAAACGTTTCCAATATTTCCAGTGAGGCACATGATATTCAACATAGAACCACTCACCAATATCCATCAGATCATGTTAGAAGACAGATCGGCTCTGATACTGACAGAGTGGTTTCGAGTGAACAAAGTGATAGGCACATTACATCAGACAGTAACGTACAACGTAATGTTTCCCGCGGAAGTCACTTGGAACAAAATCAAACCTCTTATTCGACTTCGGGTACCAGGAGGGTTCATGGCTCTTCGCAAGATATTACCAACTCTAGAAGCCAAGGATCAATTTCTCAGCAACACCTTGCTTCTGACAGCCACAGTCAACGAAATGTGTCCACACACGTTACGAAAGGTAGTCACACCGAACAAAACATTTCAAGATCATCTCACCTAACGCACAGCGTCAATAGAAATCAGCTGAGTGACAGCGTCACAAATACCAGCATCGAGTTCCAAAGGGCTATGCACGGTGGAGGCGATGTAACCACAGTCGTTGACAATTCATCCCGGAGTGGTTTCCATAAACGTAACTCTGACCTAGTTTCGGATTCTTCAAATGCAGTTCTCCACCGCAAAGGTGTATCCTCATCTACAGAAGCGCACCATACTATCAGTTCAACGGCTGCCGCACAACGGAAGAGCATTGTTAACCTAAGCGAGCGCGGAGAATACATCAACTCTGCTCAAAACACAGACAGAAAAAGCATCAGTTCAATGCATCGGTCAGGGCGTGACAACATGGGCGTGATCACTCAACACACTGACAGTTCGGATTCGAGACGCACCCAAAATAAAAGAGATGGTCAATCGACGTTGGTGATTGAACGTCAGCCGCGTGTGAATATACGCGACAATCTGCAGGTCGGAGGCGAGTTTTACGGGCAGTCGGAGTCCCGCTACGGGAGTTTCTCGCGCTCGGAACAAGCGCAAAGGGCGGAGCGTTCTGAGCGCGTAGAGCGCGTGGAGCGAGTCTCTCGTCACCACGGCACTACTTCCCAGTTCGTGTTAGGCGATGGTAGCACCAGCTACAAGCGAGAATTCCACTCGCACGTGCACGGCACGTGTCCCGCTACGCTCATCGAGTCCCCGCGGACGCCCTTCAAGCACACCCGGGACACTCGCGAGCACAAGTTCTACGCCGCTAAAGTTACTCAGAAATAAAACGTCAACATTTAAAAACTATCCATTCCTTATACTAGAGCTTTGAAGTTAATATTTTTGCCAGATTTACTATGAAAAGGCGAGCTAACAAACCTAGTCCTAATAAGATTAACATGCCATTCTACAAATGCATAATTTTACTGTTATTTTAACATATTATTATTATGTATAACTTTTATTATTTACTTTTTTTGTCAAACTTTGCCATGAATAAATTTTATATTATGATAACATTGTGTTTTATTTAGACACCATCGAGACAAACTCCATGAATCCCGAAAGACAAGTACCTACCTACTTAATTCTGATTATATCAATATCACACACACATTATACCAAATACATAATAAAGGTTAAATTGCATAGGATTATATCAATTTTATTATTTCGATTCACAATATTATCTTATTTATCAGCGCCGTAAGACGGTCCATTAATTATGAGTTAATTTATTGAAATAAATCTAAATAAAAATATGCAAATAATTGACAAGAAAGTCTAAGAAAACTAACTAAAAGAACATAAAAACATTGTTATTTAGCCAATAATTTAATGACGTGCCATCACACCAACATATTATTCAACTTAAAACAAATCTAAAACAATGTAAATTAACATTCTACAAACTAGTTCTAAGAGACCTCAAAATGCTTAAACATATCAAACTGTTTGTATCATAAGTAGAAAATATTAATCATCAGGCTGTCGCATCAGATAGTGCAGGTGGTTTGACACGTCTTATTCTTTTATACCGACCCAACTCACCTTCGTAGTTCCGTGGAAGAGAACCAAAAGCATCGGATTCCTGGTAATTTGGTACATTGATGAAACTGTCAGGAAGCTTTGCGTTCTCTTCTGGTGATGGAGTGGAGCGCAGGGGTCTACCTTGGTCGATACCTTCTGGATCTTCAGCTGTACGCCGGTTACGGCTACCACTGTTGAACATAAGATTGTCGTCCACACCTTCAACGCCAGACAAAACGCTGTCGGTATCCGAACCGAGACTCATAGTATCACTTTCAACTTTGTCATTTGCGGAGTCTTCTGGCTTAGAATCTTCTTCAACATTAGCCTTCGATTGAACGGAACGAACACCATATTTTGTGTCAGTGTTATCCCCAGGTTTATTGGCATCATTTTTAGCATAGTTCGATGTACGATCATAGAAACCATCATCTTCAAATTCGCTGCCCTCATCGGTATCCACGTCATCATTCTCAGCTTTATATGGGAAAAACGCCACTTTGGCATCTGGTAAAACTGCAGCAGCCCTCTTTTTTATTACCAAATCGTCATCTTTCCTTTTTACTCTAACTAGAGGCGCCATATTTGACTCAAAGTATTGTCCATTTTCTTCACAATTGCTATTTGGGAATGATTCTTCTAAAGACTTCATAGAATCATCTACATCTACGCTGTTATCTTGAATTTCGCGTTTGTATTGATGTTCATTGTTGTGAAGTTGAGCTTCTTCGTCAATTAATTGCGACAAATCGACATCTTGAGAACAAAAATGACCTTGATCATTGAAAGAATCATCACCGTCCTTGGTGTTAAAATAATTATCTGATATTTGAGTATCGTCAAAGGATCCATCTGGGTTTTTGAAGTAATCTACATTAGTTTCCCGCTTGTTTTCCGTTTTTGTGGACTGTACACTTGATGAGGCATCGTTGGTGTCATAGGCGCTGCTATCCAACTTGCTATTAGTAGCGGCGTCATTTGGCTCGCTCAATAGTTCAGCTCTACTTTCAGGCGTCTCAGCTCGGGTTGTATCCGCAGTTTTGGTTGATATATCAACGCTCTCGGTTTGGCTTTCCTGTTTTGTATTTTCTAAGTCTGCGCTCTGCGAGACTGCAGATTCAGTATTGATATCAATAGACGGGCTTCCTCCTTGGACTTTACTAATTTCAGACATCCCACTGTCTATGTAGTTATTTTCTTCGACGGCGCCTGCTTTTTTCGTTATTTCCCTCTTATTGACGGTGTCATAAGCGTTACGATCATTGTCAATGATTCTATTAAGAAGAGCTTTTTTATCATCTGAGAGCGAGTTGAGCAGTTCTTCTAGTTCTTCTCCCGAAAGTTTTTTAATGTGACGTCTAATGGCGGCTTCATCTTCTTCATTCGAAATTTCAGCTGATATCATTTCCTTTTCAGTCGAAGTACTGGATAAATTAATATTATTGCTGGCTTCCGCTTGGCGTCTGTCACGATTGCCCATTTCATAGTTTTTATCCCCAAGCATGCTTTTATGCTCCGATTGCATTGTGTTGTAATACTGTTTGAAATGCCGGGATTGCTCACTGGAGTCAGCCACTTCATTATTGTATTCAACTTTTTCACCACTATTTCTATTTTCTCTGTTGTTATCAAATATAGCATCACTATCGTCCAATGATGAGGTCTGTGAATCGATAGTTCTTTTGTCGTATTCATTGTTTCGACTATCTCCTTGTACGCGATTTGTTTTGTAGTTGTTGGTCAAGTGTTGTACTTTCTCAGGAGGGTCGTTTACGTCACTGTTGTCTATGTAACGGTTTGTTTGGCGGCGTTTAGAGAACGATGGTAATTCATTGTTGGCTTGTATTGTTTCCTCAAATTTTTCTCCCTTGCCTCTGCCTCGATTACACTCTGAAAACTGAAAATTACACGATGTAAGTAGGGTAAACCGTATAGCTATTGCCCACTTAAAGATTTCAAACACATTGAGATGAAAAATTAAAGAAAGTATTTTAATTATCGACCATTTATGACTTTTTTCTTATAACTCAATAAACTGTTAAACAGAATATTAACAGTTTTTAGTTAAAACTTACGTAACTTAGAAAATATTGAAATATTTTTAAAATCCTCCAAAAAGTACAGTCATTGCCCATTACTTACACTAATTGCCCACATCAAAGCACAGTAATTGCCCAGTATCTTAAAACAAAATAATCAATTTTAAAATGACAAAATAGGCTTTAAATAAACAAAACAAAACATTAAACTTAAATTCTAGTAGTACAGTCTTCAAAATTTCAAAATAAATTGCGTTTGGCCTTATTAACATATTATCAAATATTTCTTGAGCTGATGTTGATGAGTCAGAATCGGTAGAGACAGAATCATCTACTACAAAACATAGATGACGAAAAAATTTGAATTTTATTTGTAAATTTTATATGTATTTATTTTTTTATCTTCTTTGATATCAATTCAAGTGGTTGCTCAGAATGTTCAATTAGCTGTTGGTTATTCTTCCCTAAAGTTGTATCTATTTCCTTACAATTAACATTTTCACTAGTAGATTTAACGTAGGATTTTCATTTTTTGTATTTGCGTTTGGAATTTTTATCAATTTTTTCAAGCCAAACCATATTTTTCAGCAATTTATCTTGTAGATAAATTGTTGGATACATCTTGTACAGCTTGGATCGCTTTTTGCAAATTTTCTATGCTATATTGAACTTTTGGAGTCTTTGGCATACTGAAAATGAAACATTAAAAGCCATTTCAATATTTATGCCTGTAAATTGCAAAACACGTCTAGCAATGAGCAACTTAAACACTGCTACTGCATGGTGGCAACACTCTAATAATAATTGCCCTGGGCAATAACTATACATTAACATATGGCAATAACTGAAATGATGGTGGGCAATAACTAAAAATATACAGATTTACGTGCAGTGATTACCCACCGTTAAAATGACCGTTAGAAATCAAATTTTGTCAGTTATTTTCATTGATAATGGAGAAAACACTTATAATTTCATCATGACTATACACCATTAGTTGAATATTAAATAACTTGCAAAAAAAATTTAACCTCTAAGCAAGTAATTCCTTAGTAAAATTGTTAAAGTCTTTACCTGTTTGAGTAACATTTTCACCCGTCTTGACAAAATCCGCCATAACTGTTTTTTTTTAGTGTTTCCTATTGTAAATTTTAAATCTACTGTACATTGATCTCGGAGCCATCTACTTAGTAAATTCAAATCTAACTAGAGTGATTCAAAGTCAACACCTGACAATATTATTCTTAAAGCGGGCAATCACTACCAGTGGGCAATCACTCTCTGGTTTACCCTATCATGCTGACTTTTAAGACCTACAAAAAATGTTAGCAAAATGTTCCACTATAAAGTAAGATTGAATTTAGATGGTGAAAAATCTTTCGAGGGTGGAAAAATACTGCACATAAAGAAGGCGGACTTGTTGCCACATTATTGTCTCACCCAGTAAAGACTACGATAGCAATAAAGCTCAATATTGAGAGAATAAAGGGACACTTACACCATCGGCATTGGCTCTAGGACGATCCGCTTCTTCCATGTAATTCCGTTGGGGGTATTTCTCTCTACCAAATCTCATAGGTTGCTGGTTCCTTGACTCTTCATCAGCAGCAGTATCGCCCGCTTCCTGGGGAATAAATAGAAGCGTAAGAATAAAGACTAAACGTACATAAATAAAATTATATCTTATTAATATATATAAATTGAACCTTACCTGGTCACTTAATCTGGAGTCTTCATTTTCTTGCACGTTGTCTTCCGCTGCATTTTCTTCTTCGTTAGCTTCATACTCGTTCTCTTCCACTTCACTGTGATAAGATTAATTATTACTTTAGTAAATTATGCAGTGATTTACACTCTACGAGGAAGACAAGTTTCTACCATTCTTCTTGTACCCTTGGAGAATTAGTTATGGAGATCATTATGGTTAGTTTTTGCAGAAATTGTGTGTACAGAACTAGCTAAAATTTAGGGGCTCTGTAAAGTAAGGCGCTAGTTATATGTCCTCTACTTACCTACTATAGAGGTCATAGCTATGACTCATAGCTATAGGTTAAGATAAATATTATACAAGTTACTTACCTAGTATCACTCCTGTCGTCAAGTCGAGAAGGCCTGGCGAGCGCAATCGTCGTCAAACAAATAAACAGTGTTATGAGCAGGAAAGAACGCATTTTAACCACTTTTATTTCGCTATCCAAAATCGTTTACAAAATGTGACAGTTGACTGACTTGAGCTTATTTTTTGTTTTAGTTTTATTCTTTTTGCAGAAATCTTAGATGCCAGTCTTCTAGAATTTTATGAGAAAATTAGTATAAAAAGGTTTCTATCGATTTAGTTTAGCTTTTGTTTTTAATTTCTTTCCTAAACGTAAAAATATATTTTTCTAATTGTGCGTCCACACTGCACTGGGCGAATATGCTCGCGCGGCAAACTCGACATCTTGCTCACTCAAGAGCAGGGTGAGCAGGATGTCGAGTTTGCCGCGCGAGCATATTCGCCCAGTGTGGACGCACCATAAGATTAAAATAATATTTTTTGTACAGGCATAGCACATAACTGAGTAGGTCGCTGGAGTGCGGATAGGGTGACGGTTAACGTACCAAAAAACCTAAACACTACTGCACTGCTCCACTACAGGAATCTACTCAGTTTGCGCTATGCCTGCAATTAGTTTGATTATTAGCGGAATTAGGGATTATCATTAAAAGACATGCATTACTTACAACAATTTTATTTTAAATGAGACCGTTTCATCTCTATCACACTTATTATGTACATTTGGTTTAAATAAAACAAACCTTTGAAATATTTACTGCAAAATCTTCATTAAGTTTGTGCATATTTGAGGGAAAACATTTATGTCCTAGATTTAATGTTATACAAATTGATCAAATATTAAAGACTTTGTAGAAATGTTTAATCACACGATTTGGTGTCTCGACGCTTCCCCGCGAAAACTTCCTCTCGCCTGTACATTAACCCTACCGCTACATAACCTAACTCCAAAATGCAAAAGGTAAAAATCCAACAGCTTTATATATTTATGAGTACATAGAGCCACGAGAGAGTAGAGGATCATTCATTGCCAGTAAAAAAAACCGTTTTCAGAGCTATATAAAATAATCTTTGACCCATTGAACCGCCTGTGATTGGCTGGTGAGACTCGTAACAACTAATCACAGTAGTTAATAAACTATTGACCATCTAATTTTTATCATCCAGTTCAAAAATAACTTAAGACGATCCGATAATAAATAAATTGTTTTGTCTCTTTTCTTTACAGGGACTTTGATAATCGACAGAAAGAGACAAATCAATTAAACTAATAAATAATTAATACAAAAAAGAAACGCAACTCTTATGGCACTGTTAATTTTGTATGAATTAAGGGTATCAGAATCTTAGCACTCGTACCTGCATTGATTCTCTACTCCCAGATAGCTTTCTCCCTCTATATTTGAAACAGTTTTGAATTTGGCGTTGTACTTCTAACGATATAAACAATAAAAGAATTTAACAATCAATATAACATTGATATAATAATTTCCTTTGGAATTGTCGATTTACTAATTTGCCTTTAGGTAATAATATATTTTTTTATACTTTGGAATTAGCTTAGAATTTAGAAAAATAAAAAACATTATGCATAATTTATATCGAGAATAATCGTTTAAGTGAAATCTGATTAACTAAAGACATCAGTAAATCCCACTCTTCCGTCGTCAAAAAATCTAACGGATCACAAAATTCTAACATGAATGTTGTTTCAACCCAACATATAAACACCATATTGCACCTGATTCAGACTCGAGTCTAACCGACACGTCGCTCCCACATACCTTTAGAAAACTTTACGAAAACAAAACTTACTTCGACGTCAGATTAGGCTCCGCTATGTTTTATGTTGTGCTTTTTTCCTTTATCACATTTATCCTACAATAACTATTTATACAGTACATTACATCTGTCATACAGTACATACCTTTAGTGAATGTGAAAAACTAAACTTTAAAACCATATTACCAACACGAATTATGTTCAGTGTGTAAGACATACACAGTTGCTATTAAATTCGAGACGCGAAACGTTTCATAGAACGCGAATCGCGCTCACGTAAAATGGAATGAAGACTGTAGGACTTACAGTGTTAAAACAGGGTCTATTTCGTCTGAAACTCATAACTTGATGACTAGACTCTTAAAACATAATAAAATGAGCATTTACAAAAACAGAAAAAAAAAACACGTGTCTAGTTGCGTGTCAGTGCGGTCGCAACATTAACGCGAAATGAATTAAAATTAATTTGTACATTTTAATCTTTTTACAAAACAAACGGTTCACACGTGTCGGTACGAAGCAATCGTTATCGTATATGGCCAACATTGATGTTGCGAGAGCAGCGAGTGTTATAAACTAAACGATTCAAACTTAATAACTACTTAAAGTTTAACTTCAGATAGTTCTAGACTTAACGTGAAAATGCATTATTCGCTGTTAGGGCGTCGAGTGCTTGTATTAACCACTCCAGTGCCAAAAAGTAATCGAAAGTAGATTTATATTATAGCCAACGTATACTAAACCATTAAAAGTAACATTTAAAACGAGCAAAATAGGATTAATTCACTTTTCATCTACATTGAAACCGTGCGCAATTCTTTTATTGAAAAGACAGGCTTCTTTAAGCGGTAAATATATCTACCGGTTGCTTGTTTAACCTGAAGTTTTATTATTATGAACGTCCAAAGTAACGTATTGCCAAAACGTAACGAATGTACAAGAATTGACTATCTCACTTCGAACTCGCAACCACACGCACGTACCGTCGATAGAATATCAACTTGCCACAAAATGACGATTTTTCCCAATAGATTTGGAACTTTATAAAATTAAGTATACGTTTCAAAGTCAATTGAGGAAATAAGCCATTTTGAGGTAAGTTCATGTACTGTCGATTGTACTACAAATACATTTAGATATGTTTGCGACAAAAGCTTATTAAAAATGTTCAATAACAACTCTGCGGCCTAAGGACAACAATGGGACTAAGAGTGAACTTTGGAACGACACAATTTATATTTATAATATTTATTTACAGTTAAATTCAATAAATTTCCAACATAATTATATTTGTAGAAAAATAATTGCACATTATAGTATTAGTAAAACGATTTCATAAATCATTGGATTTCATTGCACCGATATATTGCGGTAAATAAATGTCAAATATAATTCGATAAATAATAATCTCTCGTTCATTGTTGTTGCTTAGGTCACCAAAAATATCTATTTACATGGCTCTAACGTTAATTCTAAAGAATTAGAAGTATTGGGACATGATCGTATGCTAAACAACACCCAGAAGCCGTGCAAGGTGGTTCCCACTGGGACAGGTTGCTAACACCTCTATATTATACGTAACATTTGGCTTAAGTTGAAAATATTCAGTCAACGCTTGAGCAACCGCTGAATGACGTAATTTGAAATGACAAGAGCTCACAGTAAGCATACGGTTCCTATGCTAGTCCAGAGATATCAAGTAAAATATTTTAAAATTAACTTCCGCAACCAAGTACATTTACAAAACGATAATTGAATTAAGAACTGGGATTTTGGAGTACAAAATTGCGTATTTTTTCATACTGTTCCCATTTTTAGGTCTCATATGTGGTTGATAAAAGGGTAATCACATCGCTTCATAGGAGCAGTATGCTTAGAGAAATACAGCTGTATGTATGTGCACATTAGAACTATTTTATATTCGTAAAAATCGTTTACGCAACTAAAACGACCGATATTCTAGCATGCAACATTAGCGATTTAAATGCAATTTCAATAAAGTGAACACTTTCAAGTTTTATTTACAAAGAAACGGCCGCGCGGGCCTCACATATAGAACAGTAATCAAAAATGTCTCCATTAAATCCGAATTAAATTCCCTAATGATATTCGAGTAAATATTCACAATACTAATTATAAAATAATCACCTCATGCTGTACAAGAATCGTCGATAAATTGATCGATTATCATTATTAAAAAATCTAATTCTACAACGTACCTAACCCCTCGAATTAGAAACATGAGTAAAACGTTAAAACCACATTGAACACTTGCATTCTTTATATTACAGAGTACCTCACTCACACCACGCCGAGAGCCGACACTACCTCAGACTTCGATACAATTGTCATGATAGGGAGTCTCCGGGAATCATACAGTAGGAATGCGTTTTGCGACCTCTAGCGTACATCGGCCGGTGGCGATTCAAGTTCATCAATTAAACAAAAACTAATAAAATCCATTCATTCACCGACCAGGCGGTAAGGAGAGCTCATTTAAGATAACTTAGAATGTTTGCCACCAACTCCTTGACTATAAAAATACGATACTGGATGTTGTCTTTGACAGAGCTTGTGGTGTTAAAATAACAATAATAGCTCAATGCTGTTATTTTCATTTCATAAAATATTTTAGCACAAACAGTGCAAATTGATTAAAAACTTTTAATAAAACAATTTTCAATTGATAACGAGAGTAAATATTTTGTTAGTGCCAAATATTTATTTTAGTTTACTATAGAAATATTTTGATACCAGTTAGGTATTTTATTATCAACTGAAATAAAAGTGTTTGATACATCTTGTACCATTCTTACGGTAGTCCAAAATATAAACAGCACGATTAGCTATATTAACACCACAATACTCCGTCATGCGTGCGTATGCTCAAACACAACTAACCACCATTTTATCTGTACAGTCAGTCCGATAAAACACACACACAGTACAGTCGCATTACATTTTTAGACATTATGAAGAACAAAACAAAATGCTCTTAAGGTGCATCGTTTCGAGTGAAGCGAGTTTTGTATTTCGACATACTTTAGATTTCGATAGTTGTCACATTTGCAAAATACGCAATTTATTAACTGAAGAGAAATGTCATCTAATTTAGAGATTCCTACAGCAGGCTCAGTATAATTTTGATGATCATTAACAAAATCTAACAGATGCTGAAAAAAATATTCGTTATTTTCAAATATGACAACAACCAAAATCAGAAACAATAAACGCTTGGAACTTAATCGATTATCGAACATTACATAATCTAAACACGGAATCAGTAACTTGACGTTTGAACTGTTACTTATTATCTTTCCGACTAGGTCCCACCGTGACTTAATGACCAGTGGAATTTTGGAGAATAAAATACCAATGCCATATCAATAGATATCAATTAATAATATTTCATGTCATTCATAATTTTACGTCAATGAATTTAGCTAAGGGCTGATTTTACCATCGTCGGATAACTTTTAACTGAAGAATAAGTTTGGCACATTGACAGTTTCAGTATGGGAAATATGTCAAAATGACAAGTTTATTCTTCAATTAAAAGTTATCCGACGGTGGTAAAATCAGCCCTAAGAAAAACTCACTGTTCATAATATTCCGGTGGGTTTTTTGCACTAACAGAGATCGTACTAGCTAGGCGCCTGAAGCAATTTCAATAATGCACAATAATTTTATACAATTGAATGACTGCATTGGTCATTTCCTTCAGACGCACTGGCTAAGGGTATATTCACGTGGTGTGAAACATTTGTATGAGACCAAGAAGAGACTCAAGTTTGTAAGGTCAGCGTCAAATAGTTCGTGACACCCAAGTGGCCAAAAAGTTGACAACACAACCTTATTCCAATGAGGGTTTTCGCGAATGAAAAATCCGCCAGATGGCAATACGTAGAGGCGAGGTACAATGCTGCATGATTGGTTATTTTTTACATGACATTGACAGATATGTCAAAATCCACCAATCACGCAGCAGTCAGACCCCACATCCACGTCCCGCCATCTAGCGGATCTTTCATTCGCGAAAACCCTCATTGTAACAAAGACGCGTTAACTTTTTAGCTACTTTAGACGTCACGAATTATTTAGCGCTGACTGTACTGGTCCGTGTCACATACACAAATATCGCATCACGTATGTGAATACGGTTTGGTATTGGTCGGCATATTTTTAACGATCTCGTATAGTCGGAAAGATTGTAACGCCGGTAGCACACTACCTTAAAACTTGTCAGCGAATCGTAACACATGACATCATAACCACACATCGTGGTAGAATGGTCACTCAGAGGCTACGCAAACTTTTGAATCGGAAATGAGTATGTGTCAAGTGGACGCACATATAAAAAGTGTGCGTCTGAGTGGCTAATTTCCAGGGTTCGAAAATATCCGATATTTATTATAAATATCAAAATATCGGATATTTATGATATACAGTCGTGGTCAACTAATTAGGGACGTTATATGACTAAAACACAAGACCGTCTCTCCAGTCCGAAAAAAAAATCTTCACGAGGCTTTTTAGCTTGTGCCTTTTAATAACAAGTAATTTGGCTAGTATTCTAAATATTTACAGGCCAGAAGAGAAACTAGATAGTTGCGATCAATATTTTTAAAATAAATAAATCATTGCCACCTACACATTTATTGACCTAGGGATGGACAACTAATTAGGGACACGTAACACTTTCACTGTAAATGTAAATAAATTGGAAATTATTTAAGTGTTTATTACATAAAAAGTTTTCATTAATAAATATAGAATACAAAACAAAATCATCAAACGTATTTTTATAACCAATATGGTTGGTTTTGTTGGTTATAACCATTTGACATCGGCGCGGCATGGATGCAATCAAATCATTACAGGTTTCTAAAGAAATATTATTCCAAACACCATGAAATGCCACGAAAAGCTTATTTTTAGTGCCAGTACGTTGAGCTGCAACTTTTTCCTTCGTTTCATACCATAAGCTCTAATAGGGCTTAAGTCTGAGTTGTTTTCAGGCCAATCTAGTACCGTCACTGACTGTTGCGCTAGGAACGATTAAACAGAGAACGCGGTATGTTTTGGGTCGTTATCGTGTTGAAATGTTTATGAGACTGGTAAGACTTCTTCAGCATACGATAGCATCGTTTTCTCCAATATTTATTTGAATTGGAATTGCTCAAGTTTAACTTCAGTTCTTTTTATAGATTACACTCTATGTCCAGAAAAACAGCCCCAGATTTTAATATTGCCGCCACTATGTTTCACCTGCTTCTTCGTTTACTTTGGTATCATTTCGGACTTTACAGATCGTCGCACGTATTGTCTGTCATCGGATGAAATAGGATTTATCTTGGTCTCATCAAAAACAGCACTTTTATCCATTGAGCAAAAGCCTAATGTCCATACTTTCTTGCAAACGCCAATCTTGCTTCTTTGTGTTCCATCTTCAGTAGTGGAACTTTTCGAGGAACTCTTCCTACAAGCTTTGCCTCCACCAGTCGCCTTCTGACGGTCCTCGCAGATACTCCAGCAGTCGGTTCTGGTCCAAAAATCTCGCTCTTGATCAGAACGGAACCCTTAAAGGGGTCTCTCTTTGCGAGAGTGACCATTCTGCGATCATCTTGTGGGGTTGTTTTTATTGGCCTTTTCCTTCTAGGCATACTTTCTGTGGTTTCATGATTTTGAAATAAGCCACTGCATCGTAGATTCATGTTTTTGGAACATTTCAGATGATCTGCAATTTACCGGTATGGCCATCCACACTGATAAAGATTGATTATAACTTAGCGCATTGTTGCTTTTCTTTCAGCCCATTACCTTTAATAATTTGATGAGTTTTTAACTCGCAAGATAAGAATATCACTTTTCAAATTGACGCCGAAATTACAAATGAACAGAATAAAAGTTATTACTTTTTATTTTTTTTAATTTAGAAGGAAAAACTTAAGCGTCCCTAATTAGGTGGCCAGACCGTCCGTACCATAATTACCGATTCATGTGATTTGATTAAGATTTTTTATTAAGTTAGTAAGTTTTTTTTTTGTTGTTATTGTATTCTATAAATAGAGTACTTGATAGTCAATATGTTTACAAAGTAACAGTCAGTAATATCGAATGAAGCTCACAATAATAGGATATGAACACTTAGTATTGCTTAGTATTCTATCTGTCCCTAATTAGTTGACCACGACTGTATATCCGATATATATCAACTTTTTTTTTTTTTTTTATGCATAACAAGGCAGGTATTTGACCACAATCGCACCTGATGTTAAGTGGGATGCGGTCTAGGATGGTACATATCTGCCCTGTAAGTGCCTATTCACTCTCGCCTTGAAAAGGCCCGATATATATCAATTTTGTATGAAAGCCATAGTATTATTTTATTGTATTATTCATGAATACTATTGCATATGTGTTACATAAACATGTTTTTAATGTTTTTAAACTTAAAATCAGACAAATAAAGCAAAAACATAAAATATTCTGTTAAATACGGCAAAATCAACTAAAAAAATAAAAATTTTATGTCAAAAAGTACAAATACAGTAACAAATTTTAAAAGTTGATATATATCATCAAAACCGGCTGGATATATATCGGATATATATCCAATATATATCGGATATATATCCGATATATATCTTGATATATATCCTCGAACCCTGCTAATTTCATATTGAATATGAAAATAAATTAACCACTGGTGGCTAACCCGTGGTCCTAGGTGAACGACAAACCCGGTGATTTGACGCCATGTAACCCAATGTGAAAATGTCAAGTAGTCGTTGGATATAATACTTGGCTATGTAGTCACGTGTCATGACATATTACTATGTCATACATCACGTGATTGACACATTAGGGCTCGTTCCCCCGTCAATCCAGTTTTACGTGATCCAGTTAGATTCCACAAAATTAGACTGTCGTGTGAACACACTCATGGTGTTTGAAATTCAGATTCAGATTTTTTGCGGGACACTGCAACAGGGATGTTCGTGTGAACGCTAATAATAAAACGTATTAATATACTAAATGGGATGTCTCAGTCGGAAGAAGCCCTTACATCGCATCGCGTCGCTTCATGTCGCGTTCCATCGCTCACCATTGGCGTATCTAGGATAATTTTCCAGGGGGGCCTGGCCCCCTGACATGTCATGACATCGCGGGAGGGGTGCGATTGGTAACATATCTCATGAGTACTATCAACTGTCATCTTTCAATCGGTAGCCCAACATCCTTGGGCACCAGACCATTCTAAGGGGGCCGTGCCACCCCGGGCCCCTTGCTATACAGGGTGGAATTTTGTAATGCCCACCTGGAGGGAAAGTACTCTTAATATTTTGTAGATAGAAAAAATATCTCAAAGAAAACATTCCTTTATTTTTGACAAGAAATAGAACTGCATTCAAAGATTTCCAAAAATTAGCTTGCTACACCCGGGAATCGAACCAACTATAAATCTGTTAAAAATTACGCCCTGTATTTTTATTGCATTGATCGTTAGTGTTAAGTATAAGGATGAAATCTCTCTAAGAAACTTGATAAATCAAATGAAAGGAAAACCATGAAATCTTAAATTATCTTAATTATTTACAGAAAATTTTATGGTATGGTAGTGAATTTTCGAAATTTTTTCGAAAATCTATGAATGCAGTTCTCTTTCTTTTCAAAAATAAAGGAATGTTTTTTTTCAGTAAAATTTTCTATTTACAGTATTAAGAGTACTTTCCCTCCAGGTGGCATTACAAAATTCCACCCTGTATACGCGCGTGTCGTTCACCTAGGACAACGGGCTGATACGAACACAAGACAAGTGTCTACGATTGCGCAGCCTCAGTTTATCGGCGTGCGTTACAGGCGGTCCACGATGTCGTCCAAGCGTCAAGCGGTCACGCCGGCGGCGGGCGCCGCGCGGTACTACAATCGGTCGAGGCGGAACTCGTGCTCCACCGCCGAGTCGGGCAGCAGCGCGCTGGGCTCCTCGAGAAGCGTCAGGTCGTCGAGGTCGAGTCCTTCGCGGAGTTGCGCCTCTTCGCCGCCGAATATGCCCGCGTCTAGCTCGCCCGAGTAGTCTGGAAGGGATTGGTTTGTGTGTATTAGATGCTGGTTCGACTTTATATGGGTCGTCGTCGTTTCAGCCAAATGACGTCCACTGCTGGACAAAGGCCTCCCCCAAGGTTTTCCATAATGAACGGTCCTGCGCTGCCCGCATCCAGGCTCTTCCCGCGACCCTTACCAGATCGTCGGTCCAACTAGTAGGAGGCCTGCCCAAGCTACGTCTTCCAGCCCGTGGTCGCCACTCGAGAACTTTCCTGCCCCAACGGCCATCGTCTCTACGAGCTATGTGCCCCGCCCACTGCCACTTGATTTTAGCAATTCTGCGAGCTATGTCGGTTACTTTGGTTCTCCTGCGGATCTCCTTATTTCTGATTTGATCACGCAGGGAAACTCCGAGCATAGCCCGCTCCACCGCCCTTTGGGTAACCTTGAGCCTTCTTATGAGGCCCTACCTCATATCATAGAAAGAGAATGATCTTCTATGATCTGAGGGCCCTACTATGGGCGACCACGTCTCAGATCCGTATACCGTATACTTTATATGGGTAGACAAAAGAAAAATTATTATATTAATGTAACGGAAATAATTGGCTCTTTAGAAAATCATTTTGATAAGAGCAGCCTACATTGCTTGTGTAAGGAGTGGGTTCACCACAATAAGGCTGGTTTTAGTGTCACCCGGACCGTCCGGTGCGGACCCGCTCCGCACGGTCAATCTGTATGAACTTCTAGGGAGCGTTTTAGAGTAATGCGGTCCAGAGGAACCGCTCCGCTCCCCAGCAGTTCATACAGATCGGCTGTGCGGAGCGATCCGCACTAACAGTTCGCGTGACACTAAAACCAGCCTAAATAATCTAGCGACCGGCGGCGGAGATGTGTTAGGCGACTCGGACGGAGCGGCGCTTGGGCTCTTTTTTGCCTTCTCCCCGTGTCTCGCACACCCGAGCGTTATACGATTCGTAGACAGCAATATACTGATATCTACGCACAGCTCACATCTCCTTTCCTCTCGTTTCCTCTCTACATTGGTGGAAAGCGTACCTTACTCTGCAGTGGCATTCTGGTTTGGACAAATATGGTAGTCCTCATTCACAGTCATATTATAACGTATAAAGCCCGGTCTGTGAGCACGTAGAATTTTGTCCAATAACCCAAAGCTACCCATACTTATCGCTCACGCGTAATTATATTGCTGTCGTGACTGTGTGACGGGCGCCCGCAGTGAGTGTGCAAGCGCGACAGCAACATAATTACGCGCGAGCGATAAGGATGGGTAGCTTGGGGTCATTGGACAAAATTCTACGTGCTCACAGTCCGGGCTTTATACGTTACTAGCGGCCGCCCGCGACTTCGTACGCGTGGATCCTGTTTTACCCCCTTTTCCGAATTTTCTTTGCTATAAACCTCACGGAGCCCGAGACCTTTCCAACGAATGCAAAACCGTGGAAATCGGTTCGTGCGTTCTGGAGTTATAGCGTCAGGGAGGAAAACCCGACTTATTTTTATATANCGTG